CCGTATGTCCGTAATTTCCTGGAAGAAGTAGAAATGGTTGGGCAATCGCTTCCCATGAATACACTAAGAAGAGCCTTACGGATGTCTGAGAGCAAAACTATGTTAGTAATATAGTCTATGGCCTCGGAGTCGATATCGTAGAAGACATAGCCTGCTAAAACCACTAATTAGCTACAGCTGAAGTTGAGCCTCTAAGGCGAAACAGCTGAGTTTGCTGACATATCTGGCAGTTTTTCCAGATTTCAGGAGTTTTTAAGGATTTTCCACAAAAAGAGGGCGTATTTTTCAAAGTTTTGGAGTCAGTAGCGTATCTAGCATTTCTTTGAAAAACGGAGGCTCTTATGGAATTTTTTTTAGACGTTAGGAGCAAATTTTTGAATAAGCGGAGAGATTCAGTGTTTCCGACAACGTTGTATTTCACACCGATTTTTCGAACGGTCTCAGTATTCTTGGATAATCAGGTTTCAGGCGCGTACATAGTCTACTTAAAAGTTCCGAAAGAACTGTCAAGAAAGCGCTCGTTAAACTTATTCGTATTTGGCTGCTTGCGTGATTCCGATGCTATTATATGATTTTTGATGGCAAAGTTTTGTGTTTCTTTTATTTTCACTTAACAAATCACTCCGAGTTTGTTATTCGCTTCTCAGTCATAGTTCATTATGTTTTTTGCAGCTGGCAACTTCTCCGCTCTTCTCTATTTTGTGCTGTTCTCGTTCACGTAATTCCATATAGCATTTCGAGCAGTTCCTTACATCGCGTTAGTGGCTCCCATTGTGTTCAGTAATTGTTGAAAATTCTAGAAAATATGTACAGCACAATTTGACCTGAGAATTGGCGCGCTTAGTGTTGCCATTATTTTTCACGCGAAAATCCGTAATTTTTCCAGGAAATTCTGGAATTTTCTAGAAAATTTTCCATCATCGGACATCAATAATTAATCAGAAATATGGCCGAGAAAAAGGAATATGAATTTAAATGGGATGGAAAAGAAATAAAACACCGGTAAGTAGCCTCACTTTTTTCAGTAATATTCATAAAAGTTTCTGCTCTCACATTCAGCATAAATGCACACTTTTTCATTGCTGTGAATTTGCAGGAAATTCGCTCAATAAAATAGAAATGGAACCATCTTACTAAAATTATAATTCCGCGAGGTTTGAGGAAGGTGTAGACTGCGTCTAGCACCAATATACCTTTTCCCTTCAATTTTTTCGTCAGTAAATTTGGAAAAAATTAAACTAAAACGGAATTGGAATAGTTTCGCTGAAGTTGCACTTTCTTAAACTTTGAGAAAGGTTCAAATTTTTGATACAAATTATTTTCTTCGTCATAAATTTTTTTGAAAAATATGTTGTTATATTTCAGAAATTAATGAAAAATCCTTATTATAAAAATTCAGAAAAAGTTCGCCTGAATAATCATTATGGGGATTCTACATTGCTAATGCCCCCGGGATTGCTCACACGCTCATAGCATGCTTGGACCATTGATCCTAGGCTGCATACCTTCAGCCGGTACCCAGTGATTGTTCGATGTATAAGGGCCACCTCTTCAGAGGCCACTCGGATACCACGCACAGCTACGCAATCCCCCTCCCCCGCCACCCCAGCCCTTACGGCTGCAAGGGAAGTGAACAATTGTGTATCGCACCGTAGTCGGATCTTTCAACTATGTAGCTTGCAACTTTTTCATTTGTTTTGACCAGCACTGCAGCATCGCCTGGTGGCCAATATGCTGGTGAGCTTGATGCTTACTCACTAGGGGATTACTAGTTCACCGGTTTTTCCGACTAAGACAGTTATAAAAAGAATACAGGAGCATCCCAATAGAATTAGTAACGTGGGGTATCCTCACTGATTGCCCAGTCGATCTTGGTATTCTTGGTAATTTGTGAAATAGTTGTTTTTTTTTTTTTGCAGGTGGGATGGTTTCGTGAAATTTGGCAACGCATCAGCAGTAGAAATGACTGGCAAGAATTTTGATAAATGGCTAAAAGATGCTGGTGTTATTGACAGCAAAAATATCACGACAACGATGACCGGCATTGCGTTCTCCAAAATCACCGGGTTCGAGCTCTTCCAGGCCAAGACCATTCTACCTCGAACTGATCAAAAACAAAGACTGATCTCTCTTCCTCTAAGTGACCTACGATCCATGATTTTGGTGGTATTAGTAATGATCCGTATCCGCCTCATCCTCTTTTTCTCGCATTCACAACCTTCGCTGTAACTTGCTTAGAGCTTGGGGCTCCTGGCTTCCCATCCTTACCGCCGCACGTACAAATCTTTCGCCCGCAGTCATTCTTTAATTTCATAATCTTTTCAAATAGATGGGACTGAGAGATTATCCAAAGAATAGGAGATTTAGCGCTGACATCTTTAGTCCTGTTACCTTATCATGATTACAGATGTTAAGTGCAAAATCTAGCTTATGAGACGAGGCCGGTAGCAAAAATTGAATGACTTAATCTTAGTTTAACTTTGATCAATTGTTATTTCACTGTCGCATAATTTCCCGTTACTAAGCAGCTGGCAACTTCTCCATTCTTCCTTATTTTGCGCTTCTCCCATCCACATTTTTCCATAAAGTCATCTAAATAATTTGTAAGCTTGGAAATCCCCATTTTAAAATTCCCAGAAAGGAGGAGGTAGTTAATATATATATAAGCTGAAGTTAATAGGAGCTTTGAAACAATACCTAAAAGACGAAAGTCCAACAGCCGGATATCTTTTCTGATCCCTCACTGCCTCTTTCCTTTCCCTCTCACTCGTTCTGCTCCCTTCTGTCCTGATCCCGGCCTATCTTTCCATCTCCATCTCCTCCCCATTTTTATGACCTATAAGGTACTCCTCCCGAGGTCACTTTTTTACTTTCGCAGCCATTCGTTTCCGGTCACTTAATTGATCAAATCTGTTCTCTTCGATCGTATTGTTTTAGTAATCCAGATCCATTTCAGATCCAAAAAGAAGGCAAATTTTAACGAAACTAAAGATATTTTGGCTGCTGTTGCAGAAGATCGAGCGCGGAAAACAAAAAAGGATCCCCAGGTCAGCAGTTTCTGGATTTTCTCCTCAGCTAGAATTTAAAAAAAAAATGGCTTGAAATGCTCGCTAATTGCTAAACCATTGTGCATTTAGTCAAAATGAAATTAGATAATGGAAAAAATGAAAAAAAAAATAGAATAAATTCGCTCTGGTATTTTTTGATTTGCCTCACCACTGTGGTACTTCCGTGTCTCAACGTAACTGCCTCGATAATTAATCTTCTATCAGCTGTTATCTCGTAAATCGATTTCGTGTCATTAATGCAACTGGCGACTTCACCATTCTTCTCTGTTTTGAGCTTCCTTCATCCGCATTGTTCCATTTAGTCATTTCTATCAGATTATTTCTGTGTCACATTGGCGGCCCTCCTTATCAGCTTTCTAGATCGCTTAGGTATTATTCAGTAATCCGCTTTGTCCATATGTTGTCTCTCATTCTTGTTACATAACCAGACCGGCTTTTTCTTTTAACGTATCCTGTCCAAATAATGTGGCTCAAGCTAAACCAGACCGCATTATTTTATTGTAGTAGATAAGCTGCAGTTTGCTGGCACCTACCATGCGTCATTCCGTAGCAGATTGTGTCGTGATAACATTTTCAGCCTCGTTTTCATTCAGTCTTACCAGCTCCTAGCCTTCCTAATACTTTTCATGCGCATATATATATGCTTCATATA